GTTTTTTACTTTTATTAGTTTTAAATTTATTTGTAAATAAGTTATATTTTTGATATTTATTAAACAAATCTAAAAATGACAGAAGTAACATTAGCTTTTCAGGGCTAAAAGTTCTAACCATTTCTGGTATAAAAATGAAATTTCTAAAAAAATTAATAAATAAATAATTTAGATAAATAAATTGAATCTAACTTAAAACAATGACTTTTAAAATACAATTTATTTATTTAATTAATTAAAAGTAAAGTAGTATTTAGTTAAGTCAACTATTAAATTAGGGGTAAACAAGTAATTTAGATAAAAGCCTAGCATTGACCAAAATTGGCTTAACTAACCTAAAAAGGACCAATATATTAAGTTATATGCTGGGGGGGGGGGTGACTAGTCGTGTAAATAAAATAGAAGTTAGTTGATTAAGTGTATATTTGGAGTAACTGTTAAAAAAATAAGAAAAATGAAGGGTGTGAATTAAAACAATGAGAAAGACCATATCTAGTTGCCCCATCTCTTTCCCCCCATTCATTCAAATCGTTTATGAGAGAGGGAAAGAGGAGGAATGACAATTTTAGAAGTGGAAGTGGTCTCATGGTGAAATTGAAGTGCAATTAAAGCATAAAAGTTAGCAGCTCACTAAGGAAGCCAGTGGATAGACAAACTTATTTCATCTTCCCTACCATGAATTTAGAGTTTGGAGATCTATTAAATCCAAAAATATTAGAGGATCTAAGGTGTTCTGAAGCACATATGGAGATCTAGTGAAGATTCAGACAATTCCTCATCAACTTCTAGCTTGTAAAGGTAGTCATCTTCTCCAATTCTTCCATCCCATAATCTAGGTTTTTGTGTGTTGAGTTAAATCTGAATTTTATGAATAAAACGAGGTTCTATCTTAATTTATAGTTAGTTTCTTTGATTAGATCAATTATATAGCTTCAAACTCCTTCTATAATGCTTAGATGTACATTCCAGTGTTGTTTTGAAGTTTTCATTCCCCATCAATGGTGGACTTTGATCTAAAGCTCCATTTGATGTATTGAATACTTGAATCTTCCTTGATTTGAGTGTTTATAACTAATTTGGAGTAAAACAATCCATTGTTGTTGTTATTTGTCACTCATTGATCCTATTTGCAAAGATGGAATTGAGTGTTGGTAACCTTAACCTCATGATTGGGTTGTACATTGGCAATGATGAGTTGTAGTTTAAATTGACACAGTTGTGTCAAATGCTTTGTGAATGAAAAATAAATTTTGAAAAACATAGTATTCGACCTCCGATTGTTCCAAAAATTTAAATATAAGCTAATAGAAAGGAAATAAGCTTATAGGAGAAGTCAAGATGTTAAAAACCTTATAAGGGCACTTTGTTCATTTTGTAATAAATAATTGTTAATAACAATATGTGGTGTTTAAGAGGTATACGAGTTGAGGAAATGAAGAATAGTTTGGATGTATTCAAGGTGAGTACATGTCCTCTATTACATATTTGAAATGTTTTGAAAGTATTACTTATACTTATATGATTTACTTGTTATGTGGCCTTATGGTATATATGTGCATGACATCAAAATGAAATTTGAGACATCTTTTTGTTTGAGAAATTTTGTATGATTTGGAAATGTGATCCTTACTTGTGTATTGCATGTAGGATGGGTTTTGAGAGTCACCTGTGACGTATCATATACGTAAAGGGTGAAATTCCCTAGATAATATGTAGGATCATAGATCCCAGACCAAGGATAAATGTACTCTTTTTGAAGCACAATGCTCCAGATGGACTTTACAAACCCATTTCATGGCTTAAGTGTTTAATGATCACATGTTTATCCTAAAGCTTGGGAAGGCGTGGAGCCTTTAGGAGGTGTTGGTATCAATAACAGTTTAAGCAAGTTGCTTATTCAAAAATGGCTAGACTGTTAGTCCCTTAGAATGTAAAGGACCATTTGAGAGTAAAAGATTGAGATGAGTTAGTTGCATGTGCGTTGCATCTTAATTATGAACCTATATACTTTTAACCTTATATATTTCTTTCATGACGAAATAATTTGTGAAATGAGAAATAGTTTTGGAAATGATTTGTAAAATGAGAAATGGTTTTGTAAATAATAAGTGATATAAAGAAATTGGGTATTGCCATTTCTAATTCCACTCCATAACCGGATTCCAGTATTATTCGCTAGGCTTCCTAAGCCTAATATGTTGTTTTGACATGTACACACAATTAAGGATAAAAAACTAGTAGCATGTGATTGGATATTTTGAAAGTCGTGCATGTATGGTTTAGTTTTATCTTTCTAATGATATTTTAATTGAACACCCTCAAACACAATTTTATTAAAACCTACGGTTAAAAGCTTTAGGAACGAATTCCGCGCTAATATTGACCTTGATTTTAAAGGTTTAAAAATGATTTTAAAGGATAAACTAATTTCTACTAACCCAAACAAGGGATGTTTCAAAAGATAATAGTAATGATGATTTCATGAGTGAAAAAGAAAGGAAAGAAAAAATAGAAGAAATAACTGACAAAAAATAATATATATATATATATATATATATATATATATATATCTATATATATATCTATATATATATATATATATGGAAAAGTTCAATAGAGAACCATAATTATTGGTTTTTCAAGGAACAAATTTTTTTTTCAATTTCTAGAACTTATTCTTTATCGAAAAAAAAATCTAAAAATATCTAAATTCATATATTAACATTGTGAATGTGAAAAATATTTTTCGGATTCACATTGTGAATTTTCAAAGATTCACATTGTGAATTTGACGTAAAAAAAAAACCGAATTTGATATCATTGGAAAAGGGATAAAAAGTTATGAATCTCTGTATTTTTAGTTTTTTTTTTGATAAAAAATAAGTTCTAAAAGTTGAAAAAAAGATTGGTTCCTTGGTTAATTATGGTTCTCTATTGAACATCACCATATATAGGGAAAAGCTCAATAGAGAACCATAATTATTGGTTTTTCAAGGAACCAAATCTTTTTTTCAATTTATATATATATATATATATATATATATATATATATATATATATATATGTGTGTGTGTGTGTGTGTGTGTGTGTGTGTTGAAACCATACCCTTGATTTGGTAAGATATTGTTTGATATATATTGATTGTTAGATTTGATTGGCCTAATAATTGATTGAGTCGGCTCAAAGTCTTACCGGAACCAATAAAAAGCATATCGTCGACTATATGATAGAACAAGTTAGTCCTAAATTTTTATCAGACTCAATAAGAAACATATCAAAACATTTTCTTAAACCAACTTAAATCAAAGGTCAAAAGTAGAAAAAAATTACAATTTTTTTTTACAAATAATTCATATATAGTATAATTTAAATGCGGTATTTTCTATAATATTTTATTTCTATATAAATTTAATAGTTTGTACTTTGATATTATGCATTATTTTCTCTTAATAAAGTTTTATAAATATGTAATACTTTACATAAGTTATTTTATTAATATCTTAATTTATCAAGTACTTAAAAAAATAGGAACCGATCTAAAAATTACAATACCCATCAATAGTAAATTAACAAAATATAATCGTATATCTTAATTAATTAGCCATCCTCTTGCTAAGCGCGTTGGCCCTAACAAGGCTCCCAATTGTATTCACTGCAAGCTTCAAGTCCTCCAATGGATTCCCCGGCGCCACCTTCTTGTACATGTAGCTATCAAACGTCATCCTCTGCACATATTCATTTCCAAATAACTCCACAAGAGCCTCCCTCGCCGGATTCGACCTGTAAAACAACCTCTCCAACACATCCATCACCTTAAACGTCGGCCAATATGTTTTATCCCATTTCTTCAAATAATTCCTCATATCTTCCTCATTAACCATCCTCCTCCCATACTCCGACCCTTCCACTATCGCCTCCGCACACATCCGCCCACTCTTTGCCGCAAAATATATCCCTTCGCCGGAGCCTTTTGTAACATACCCGGCGGCATCTCCTACCAACGCTACCCTCTCCAGTACTCTCCTCGGTCGAGGGTGTTGAGGGATGGGGTGAGCTTCCACCCGCATGATCTTTCCTCCAACAATCTTGTCATGTGCACGGCGGCGCGTGGCGTCCTGGAACTTTTTAATATCAGGTTTGTGCCCTATAGTTCCTGTTCCGACTGCCACGTGGTCGGATTTCGGAAACACCCAACCGTAGAAGTCTGGTGACACATCATCGCCGGTGTACATCTCTGCGAGGTTCTCGTAGTACTTCATTTTGTCTTCTGGAAGCTTTATTCGTTCTTGGAAAGCGATGAGGTATTCATAATCTCCGGCGTCGATGGATTTTGCGACACGGGAATTGACACCATCGGCGCCAATCACTGCGTCGACTTCGATACTCATCTTTTCTCCGGCGGACACGGATTCACCGTTGAAGGCGTTGTAATGGAGGATGTACGGCGCGTTTTTCTCTTGGGGTATGTCCATTTTGGTGAAAAGTCCGTTGATTATGGTGGCGCCGGAGGCTATAGCGCGTTCACGAAGGTAGCCGTCGAGGACTTCCCGACGGACCATGCCGACGTACTCATGGGGTTTGAGAGTTTTATGGATGTCGACGGAGACGTTTGACGGGGAGATGACTTTCATTTTGGTGACACGGCGGTCGATTATATCCAATGGCAAGTCAAATTCTCCGACCATGCAAAGTGGGATAGCCCCACCACAGGGCTTAGCATTGTCCATTTTGCGCTCGATGAGGAAAGTCTCTATACCACCTTTGGCAAGAGTTTCGGCAGCTGCGCCACCGGCAGGACCACCGCCAACCACTGCAACGCGGAGGTTTCGTCCAGTGATTTTGGGACTAGATTTGGCAGCCTGCACAACATTAAGACGACGGTTGTGGCGTTGGCTTCGTACAACGCATTTAGATGGAGCGGTAAACGAGTAATGACGGTGGTATTTTTCCGGTGAAGATTGATGGAGGCCGACGAAACACTTGATTGTAACTGAGGCCATTGTTGAGATCTGGGTTCTGATTTTGCATGATCCCGTAGTTACGTTTAAATAGACAATGCGTTTCAATGGATTTAGTTTAATTACATGTTTAAGGGAATCTGTGATACCCATTGTTAACACGTGATTTTTGTTTTCTAATCACTTTTTAATTTTAAGCTCTGATCTAAGACCGTATAAATTTCTGGAAAGAAAGGCCAAATCTATTACAGTTACACTCAATTATTTATTGCCTTTTTTGTTTTTTTCTAATAATTTCTTAACTTTTAATAAAGTCTTTACTCTTTAACTTGCATGCTTTTTCGGAGAGGCCAAATCTATAGTAACTCACTTTATTCCACCCAAGTATAATATATAATCTTTTGTAAGTTAAATATTTCCCATGAATTTGATCCGTCAATATATAAAACAAATATAATAACATAGGTTATACAACGTGGGTTTTCTATACGAATGGACCACACTAAAACACTAAAATACAAGACTGTAAAACTATAAACGTATACACATACATTTTGTTTAACATCCCTATGTAGTGGGAACAGAACAGAATGTCTACAACGAACTTTCAGACTTGATCGGAAGTTAAGAAAAAAAAGATAACATGAGTCAATTAATGAAGATATCAACATACCGAGACAAAGACAACATGCTAAGAACTCAAATTTTCTTTATGAAAACTTTGTCTCATACAAAGTAAGTGTCGATCGCGAGATGTTTAATCCGCTGATTATGAACAAGATTGGTGGACAGATAAAAACATACAAAATATTTGATTTGGTGAATGTCAGGTACCTGAGGAGCACCTGCTAGACTCATATAAAGAGTCGGATCTGTAACCGGAGGGCCAATGCCCTCAAATTAAGTGAAAATCAGATGGGATGTGAGCATATTTTCAATTAATCATTTTAGCTCACTCAAGAATCTTTGTAGCATATTTTTGTTTGGATAATAACATGGCATGGTGGTTTTAATATTAGGAAGTGGATGCTTGGAATGAGAGTGGCTGGGTTCGATTGAGGTAAAATCAACTGTAGGTGGTTGTTGGCATCGGAGATGTCCAAATTCGATATATGAGGTGGCTATGTGCGCGATTGAAAGTGGAAACGACACATGTCATTGAACATGCTGCGGGTGTCATCATGATTAAGGAAATCTTAATCGGGATATTGATATGGGGTCATGGATTTGCATGGAAAGATGGATTGATCGAAACTGACAAGTGGGGATAATGATTATGTTAGCGTTTAGACAATGATACCCTTTATGACGAGACCGGTTACCAAGAAAGATGCATGGAGTTGATATGGGGTGAAGCTTGTGTGCGTTCTTAAAACGGGGGTAACAAAGGCAAGCAAATAATTGAAGATGGGAGTATAAAGGTTGTGTGTTAAATAGCTTGTGAAAAAGAGTTGCATTTTTTTAGAGAGCTTGGAGATCCCTCGAGATGAACAAATACGAAAAACATTTGTAGTGAATTTAAAATAACTCACACCATACATCATAGTTGAGTTTATCGACGTCCAAGATAACAAGAACATGTGACTTAATGTTCGTTATACATTATTAAGAGGATTAGTGGTAGCCATGGATAAAGAAGATGAAGAGATCGACAAAAAAAAGAGAAGAGAGAAGAAAGTCGACATGAATAGGTCAAGGATCGGCTAAAGTTTTTTTTAGCTTGATATCATATAAGTGAAATATTTATCATGAAGTTGATCCTTATTATTCCACCAATATATAAAACAAATATAATAACAAGAGGCTAAATACAACATAAGCTTTCTATATAAATAAGTGTCACTTTTAAAACATATACAAATACAATACGATCTAACATTCTTGATAATTTGTTATATATATATATATATATATATATATATATATATATATAATATATATATATATATATATATATAATACAATTCTCTAAAACTTACATTTATCTATATACAACAATAATATACATATTGTACAAAACCTTCTAAAACTTAAAATTAACACACTTCTCCATACAAAGCTCTTATGAAAAGCTAGAAAAAACAACCGTGCTTAGAACATCATTGTTGGATTAAGGTGTCTAAGGCAGTAACTAAATTGATATAAACTTGTAATTAAAAAGCAAATTCATTTTTGGGTTGGCAGTGTAGTTAAAACTTGATTAGAATGACATTTACAGAGAGATAATGATTTATTAAATTATTATATGATTAAGAAAATAATTGGAAAGTATGAAGAAATGATTTGTTAATATATTATATGATTAATATATTAAATGGAAATAGATAGTTGATTTGTTAATTTATTATGTGATAAATAAATTAATATGAGATCAATTGTTAAATTAATTGATTTATTAATTTATATGATTAATAAATTAATGAGAAATCAATTAGAATTAATTAATTATTAATCAGAATTAATCTGAAATTAATTTGCGATTAATTAGAATTAATTAAAGGTGTAAATGATGAATTGTAATTGTTCAATACTCGAACAAAAGAGACAATTCTAGAACCCATCCCAGGGTGGACGGTTTTGGGAGCCCTTCTATGTTTTCTGAAAGCCTCCTGGATGTTGATAAGGAAATGATTTGAATTGGAATTAAATCAATTATTTAATTATTTAAATCTTGCTTTGTCTCTAAGTTACCAAAACTATAAATAGGACCCTTTGGGCAACAATTTTCGTGACTACTCTTTCTTAGAAGCTTATGAAGAACATTCTCCTCTCTCCTCAAGTGTCTTCTAGTTCTAGGGTTTGGGTGTGAGCCATTAGATGCATCATCCTTTTGGTGCTAGCTTTCCAAGATCTTCAAAGGAAGGATTGACGTAACTTGTTTGCTATAACAAGTTTATGGTATGTCTCTATAGTTTCTGATTTTCGAAATTACTAGGATGAATATTAGGTTTTTGTTATTCAAAGTATGTTGCCTTAATGTGAAGACAGATCTTTTTAGGTTGATGTGCCTTTTCTTAATTGTTAAGTGGTTTTCTACATTGAGCATTTCGTTGTAACCTAATAAACCCATTAGTGATATTAGAGCTAATTGGTCTGTCTAACATTAAAAGCACATTAGTAAAATCGAACAATTTTTTTTTCTATCAGACTGAGATCACGAAGTGACAGAGGCTCTGTCAAGACGTGAACCCATCTCAAATCCATATTTTCGGGATTTTCTGCCTAATTTGATATATGTGGTTTTATTTGGTAATTATCTGTTTTATGTTCTGTCAAAATCCGATTTTGCTCGCCTAAGATGATTAAAAAAACCCTAAATATTATAAGATAATCTTAGACAAGATAATGATTAACTATGCGATTAATTAATATTATCCGAATGGATAATATTTATGTTGGGTTGGGCCCATTTGTATGTTGGGTTGGACCAATTATTTATGTTGGGATGGGTCCAGTTGTATGTTGGGTTTGGCCCATTATTTATGATGGGTCGGACCATTTGTATGTTGGGTTGGACCCATTATTTGGTATGTGGTATTTTAGGGAACTCATTAAGCTTTGTGTTTAAGGTTTATGTTTAAAATGTTTTCAGGTACTTCTGGATTCAAAAGGAAGGGCCCGACTTGATCACACTGCATCTTTTGGAGATTTATTCCGTATTGACTGTTTTTGAGTTTACTATGATGTTTTGAGAATACTTTGATTCTGATTGTCTTTTGAGATAATGAATGAATGGTTTTGACTTATTTAAAACAAAATTTTCACTTGGTATTTTTGGGACTTTACATTATGATACAACGTTTTAAGGTCAAATATGTGTCATAAAGGATGTGATGCTATAAAAATACAAAAGATTAATAACTAGTTTCCACTTTAAAAAAGTTGGTGTCCAATTGTTTGCACATAAATGTTTTTCAAAATCATTATTTTGATCAGTTTTAAATAAAATATGTTTATTATAATTTTCAAACATGAAAATAATGAATTAAAGTAATAAAATGGCTTATCTACAAGGTTTATATACCTAATCGGGTAGTACGAGCCTCTTCCAACGAAAATACATCAACAAAATGTTAAAACAAAACTGTAAACATGAAAAATACTTTTGGAAAATCATCATATGAGTTTAAATCATCAGATGTTCTTCGTGTTCGCATTTTGGGTAGAGATTAAAATAAATATAAGGCTTTGCAATACAACATATATAAAGAAAGACTAGAAGACTTATATGTTTATGCATGATTGAAGATTTTTGAAATGTAGTTGTCAAAGATGTGAACTTTTAGAGTGACTTTGAAAATGATTTTAGGGAAGAAAAATTGCAAAATATGATTTGAAGGTTTTTATACTCAGGACCACTATATTTTAGTTCGAAATTCAAAAAATTTAAGATTTTCAAACACAAAAGTTTTATTTGAATTTTTCAAAAGAAAGGGTTATTTTTTTAAATATAATATTTAAATCATTATAGGAAATATTTCTCTTAAATATGTAAATGATATAAAGCATAAAAGCTAAATTTTTTTGAGAAGTTACTTAAAGTAACTTGTGAATCAAAAGTTTTTTTATATAAATTAAAATTTTAAAGATACTTGTGAATCAAAAGTTTTTTATATAAATTATAAATTTTAAGATTATATTATTGTACTAATCATTTTTTATTCAACTTTTCTTAATGAAATTTAAAAAACTCCAAAAATATCTCATAAACAGCTAGTCGGACAAACATTTAAGCTGAAATACAACATCATGCTATTGGTGAACCATAAGCAATCAAGTAGAGATAATTTCTTACCTTAAATCAACTACCAACGATCAATGAGTATCTTGGAAAATTAGTTTTACTAACTTCTAAAAATAGGATTTTCCATTTTTAAGCACAAATTTCGGATTTTAAATATAATCAAAACAGACAAATGAATATATGTTCGTGTTTTCCTCCATGATACATTCGTTGTGATATATCACACGTCCAAAACAGATTAAAAACAAATGAGATATTGCGTGTCAAAATAAGGCATTTGGAAGTAAATAACAAAGGA